ACCTAGTTCCTGCTGGGACAAATTGTGCTATCCCACTCTTGGCATTCTGTTCCACTACCCTTAAGTGATGTCTGTATTTAAAAAAAGGAAGGGAAAAAAAAAAAAAAAAGTATTTCAGCTCTCAAAAAGGCACATGTGGCCAGACCGATGATCCTTGCTGTTCACAACCACTCAGCTTTGGGATTTTTCTTCAAAAACAATTTAATCTCCTACTAATGCTTTATGCTTTGACAAAAGATAAAGTGAGAGCATACAGCATAATGAATTCTCTCTTTTATGCTCTAAAATTGTACTTCCCTAGCATGTCTTCTGTTGTGGAGAGCAGCCCTGGAAATACCCTCTACTCCATAGCATGCTGAGGAAATGGGTAATTTTGATTTCTACGTCTATGGCCAAACTACTGTGTCAGAGTGAATCTTCATTTTGAATTATATTTTCTGGCTTAATATTACTCTTAATAACTTCTAGTAAAACTTTAGGGGTTTTTGTTTGGTTTATTTTTTCCCCAAAGCATGCCTTACAAATAAGGGAGTGATGTGTATTGGTGACTGTTCCAGCCCCTATAGGGGACGCTGGCAGGCAGGTGCGCGCGTGGGCTTTGGGGGGTGTGCCGCTGAGGTTGTGACCCCAGCGCTGCGGCTGCGGCCCCGGCCCCAGCTGGGACGGGTGTTCGGTCTGAAAGGCTGAAATCCTTGGGTCTGCCTCCGTGCCGCCACCCCGACCTGCGCCCCGTACGCGTGGGGTGAGCTGTGACCCGCCTGGCGTCGATCACCCTGTTCTTTGTGGGCTGTAAATGTGTTTCTGGCCTTGGGTAGCGGCACGAAAGTCAGCACAATTTTAGCACAGAGGATGACAATTGTTCTTACTTGATGAGGTCTTTGAGATCGTTATTTAATATTGTGCATGTTTTAATCTTTAATTTATTGCAGTTTGTAAATATTCTTGTGCTTACAGTTAGTGTTTTGAGCTTTAATTTATTGAATTAGTCTATTGGTATGTGTGTAGATACATAAATATGTATACTTAGTAAATCACACTCAGAAAAATATTTAAGGGATTGTAGCATTAAAATAAGAGAGAAATATTCAGACTATATTCAGATTAAGCGGGGCATAGGAAGATTTATGGCTTTGTTTTCTTTTTTCCTTCCCTTAAAACAACTTCTGCATTGAACCTGAACAACATTTATTAAATAGAGATGGAGGCTGGCGCAACATTAGCAGAGTGAAAATTTTGATGGCGTTTGTTTTCCTTTGGAATGCTTTTGCATCTCTGAGAACAGCCAAAAAGCTGCCTGCCTGCTTCGTTGCGCTGGTAACATGGGAGGCGATGGTCCGGAGGATGCAGTGAGGCGACGAGAGGTTTCAAGGTTAATTTGCAATGGGTGGTAATTGCTTTTGCCTTTGAACACGTGACCGAGAAAGTTGAAGGGATGGCCAGAGGCTGACAAAATGTGACAGTACACAATTTTCAGTAATTGTCTTAGGCTGTTCCTTCGCGCACTTCAGGTAGACAATAATTGTGTACAAATGCTACAAGGACTCGCATTTGTTCTTTTTTATGAAGTACAATAAACCCACTGTGTGATTAAATACGACTTTTTCACTATGTCGCTAGCTGTTAGTATTGAAATTCAACTCTTGACCCAAAGAGGTGAAGTGCAAAGTGAAGTTCTCGAGGCAGATGGCAAAATTGCTTTCAGTGTCTGATGTTTCTCAAAAAGGCTAGAAGCGTTGAATATTAAAATATTTGAGAACCTCTAATACTGCGTCTTCACTTAAGATTTATTAGTTATGAAGTCTGCTGCTTTTCTCCTTCAAAAAACTTGCACAGCTGAAACAGAAGTACCTGGATTGCTGATTATATTGAACATTCATGCTGCAAAGATTGTGCTTTTTGTTGAGCAGCACCCCTCGAATGTTGGTTGTTAGTGTTACCGGCCAGCACGCTGTGTGTGCCATGCCGGAGGTGTGCCTGCCACTTCAGTTAGCAGGTTGATTTAGAAAGGGTAGAAGTGCTACAAAATTTTAATTGATTAAAAGCATTACATTTATTCTAACAGCGTGGTACAATTTTATCACTGAGTTCTGTTTGCTGTAAATCTGTTTAAATGTCGCCGTCTCTGAAATGTCTGTGTGGGTATGAAGCCACATGCAAGACTTCAGGTAGATTTTTCCCCTTAAGGACTAATATGAGGGAAAAACAGTTCCTCGTTCCTACAGAAAGCGTCAACAAGAATAATTGTTTCAGAAAATTGCGTGCTTAAAAAGATTAGAAAATTATTAGAAGCATAATGAAACTGAATAAACTGAAATGAGTAAATAGGGTTAATATAGGGGTGAAGAACTTTTCTTCCCCATCTTGATCCAAAGCTACTGTTATGTTAGGGTGTAACTTTAGAAGTAGAGTTTATAATTTTAAAGCAGGTAATTTATTCAGCGTGTTAACTTGCCACACATATGGTGGGGCAGGAGTTATCCCAGGAAGATACAACGTGCTGTTGCGCAACACTCAGCCTAAAAAGGGATCTTTGCTGTTGTGGTGCTTCCCTGTGGGAGGGAGCTTTGAACGCGTGCACGCGTACGGGACTCGCGGAAGGGCAACGCTGGTACCGGTTCTGAGCTCTGTGGGCCGCTCGTGATCATTCACAGTGCCGGCAGGTGGATGCAGGCTTTCGGTGTCCGTAGGGTCACCTGTGTACTTAACAAAGCGCACTATGTAGCATGTTCGTACTCTTAATGCACTCCCCCTGCGTTACCGTACTTCCAAATCCGCCTGGCCAGCGCTTCGCTAGAGCATCAGCTCTCCCGGCTGGCAGGTGTGTGTCTCTTCCCGGGGGATTGCCTGCCCGACTAATGCAACTTTTCCAGCTCGCCCATACCCGAGTCAAAGTCTTCTCTTGAGTTACTTGTCGTTTAAAGGATGCGCGAGCAATGTAAAGCAAAAAACAAAAAAATCCCCTGAAACCTGGGCTTAAGGTATCTTTTAACAATGGGTTGCACTTACTGAACATGAAAAATCACTGCTTTTAACTAATGCTTTTTTTTTTATTTAGCACAGATGCAGCAAAAGCCTCAAGTGAATGCCTGTCTGTAGCGTGTGTGTATATATATATTCTACATGTAAAATTTGTTGGTGATACTTAAAAAGGTGTTGTCTCCCCTTTTGAGTAGATGTTGCTTTAACTTAACAGCCTGACTTTTAAAGGATAGTTCTTGTTTCTGAGCTAAATTAATGGCTGTCAACATGATGATTACATAGTACCTAAAATACCAAACAGCTTTTCCAAAAGCAGTCTTACTTTGTTGTCTGACGACACGTAGTTGGAATGACTCTTGAGCAGACTGATTTATAGCAAATTTAAATAACTATGCAATTTTGCCACTACTGCTAGATGAACATGCTTTCAAGAGCTTGTTATGGTGCGTACCCTCCTAGATAACAGCGCATGTACTACCACAGTAGGAAACAATTAAAATACAAATATCTGCTCAAATTGCACAGAGTATAGATCCATTTATGAGAAGAATTTTCACGTGTTGCGTTTGTCTTTTGGTTTTCACTTTTTCCTTTTCTGAGGAAATGAAATACCATGTTCCATTTAAAAGCTTTAAATAAAGAATTGTTTATATACTCCTCGGTGCTCTTTTTTCATGTCAATGAGTTGATTGTAGGAAGTTCTGCTATTTGATTTTCATACAGATTTTTAATTCTGTGACCCGGCGTGCAGGCTCTTTCTGCCCTCGCTCAGCTGCTGGGCCACCAGCTTCTCACAGATCTCATGCTTTTGGGGGATTTTAAACTCAAGGGGTCTCTAGTTCTCCTTGTTGTAAGTGACACAATCATAACCAAATATCAGCAGAGGGATTAGTGGACAATTACTTACTCCTCTGACTGCTAAACAATCCACAGCAGTTCAGAGGGGGAGAAAAGGTGGAAAGTTCAAATGGATACAATGAAAAACATTTAAAAACCCAGTATCTTGCACACACAGCCCTCATTCCAAATCGGCATTGCTGTTAAATTTGTAAAGTGCACTTACAGCTGCACATGCTGCACAGACTCTAGCCACCTGGCAGACGAGTGGCTGATGGCCAGGCGCAG